GTTTTCTTTTCGATGACATATCGGTAATATTAAAAATAAATACTGTATTTAAATCGTGATCAAATTTTCAAGAAACAAACGTTCGTATTGAATTTGGACTACTACTGACCAGTGCTAACAGATTACCTATTGTTTAAAAGGTGGCGCAAGAAGACGGATTTTATAAAATAAAAAGCAGTTGAAACTGCATTTTAGGAGGTGGCCCAAGTTGCCCATACGCCGCCCTTGGTCATAGAAATGATGTAATTTGGATATAAATTATTTATAAATACGTATGTCAAATTATATTTTTATTACGACGCAAAATATATTTAAGAGTTTACGACCACTGTGCAGGGTGAGATGAAACGAAAAAAAGTTATGCATTCCATCACGTTCATAAACAGTATCGTAATTCGTCAAGTGCAAATTAGCAACTTCATATAATTTTTGTTTATTTTGAACAATCCGGATAATCGAAAATCCGGATAATAGAGGTCCGGATAATCGAGGTTCTACTGTATTTACAAATTTATGGGAGACACTGTATTTATTGCAAAATTATGATGTAGTTGCTTTTATTGAGACTTGGTCAATTAACTCTTATAAACTGGTACTTTCTTTATTGAACCCAGATTTGTTTTTATATGAATATTGATGGACAAGAACAAAATCAGTCACTGGTCATCTGGTCCATTGGTTACTTAATTTTTTCCCTTTGAGAATGAGATCCCAAATGTGGGGTGTGACCTTAATCACTCACTAAGTATGATTTGTATTTTTCTGGCTAATCAGAAATCTGATTCTCACATTATTGATAAATTCTGCTGAAGTATAATGTTTGCTTAGGTGGAAATTTGCTCAATAATAGATTCCAATAGATTATCTTTGTCAATAGTCTTATAGTTAGAACTGTCTAGACAAAAACCATTAGTACTGTCCAGAGAAGACAGTGGTGACCAGCTCCAGACAGTGAACTTATTGTAATTTAAAAGCTAATTAAGATATATGTCTCAAAATTGGCAGGGAAATTTCTGAAAGACTTTACTTGATAATCTAAACGATTTTCTGTGATAAAACACCGGAGGCCTGGGAAGGCCTCTGAAGGCTGACCAGAAGTATAACTAAAACCTCCAAAATCTCACAGACTAATGGGCCTATAGCCCAAAAAATTTAATGTTTTACTCAGTTAGAACTTGGTTTGGGTTCTGGTCCCAATTCTAGTTGATCAATCTTCAAAAGTTCAGTAAAACAATCCAAAGTTTCTTGAAATATCAAAAGCTGTAATTTCCCAAATATTGGTCCCACAAAGAAAATTTTGACCTCACTAATCCTTATGACTTGCTGTATCCAAATATATATGGCACTGCACTCACAAACACAATAATCCCAAGAAAAACATAATGAATCATGGAGCTTGATGCAAATATGGTATCACAGATCCTGGGTGAGTCCACTCCACATTCAGGTACAATAAGGAGATGGAGTAGAGTTCTAAGGTTCCAAAAACAGCCACAGTTATGTGGAAGATTCTCCAAGGCATTCACTGCATTCTAAGCTACAGAGAATCTTCCCCATTACTGTGGCTGTTTTTGGAACCTTAAAACTACTTTGTACACTTGTGTGCAACTCATGTAGCCATCTCCTTACTGTACCTTTTTTTTTTTTTAATTATTTTTTAGTCAAAAATCAGACAACACACTTCTGGAGAGTGTTGCCATTTTATCTGTCTGTTGTTTGTTTTCATATATCAACAATGTTGCCAGTTACTGTTGCCTCTGACTTGGAAGTTTTATATGTTAAAATACTATGCTATTGCTCATCCTAATTTTTAATGGCATTATTTTCAGTTTTTTATTGAATATTCCTTGTATTTTTGAAAAAATAAAATAGCCATTGGAGATAGTGTGTGTTTTTGTAATAAACCAAAAGGCCGCTGTAAATAATTAATCAGGCTAATTGCTATTCGCAAATCACACCTAAATTCAAACTTTCTAGCAAATAAAAGTAAAAAAATATAAAGATCAAGTGTTTTTGGCCACTAAATTTATCAGCCATCCTCAGGAAATACAAACTGAAAAACTGTTCTATAAATAGAATGTAACTGCTTTGTAAATTTTAAAAGAACGAAAACGGCTGTGACGTATTGTGTAAGATGTATATTATGAGTCAGTAGTGTGCCGTGACATTTGATGATAGGGAAGCTGTGTTTCTGTAAGAAGCCGACTTTCAGGGGCAATCAGTCAGTGATGGTCTAGGGCAGGGTGGCCAACAGTTTTTGCCCCCCAGGCTGAATTGGAAAGAGAACTTTCTGGTGGCTTAAACCAGAGGCTGCCCTAGGAAGATTTTGAGATGGTGTGAGATCTCATTGTGGTGTCACCCCGTAAAGACTGAATTGTAGATAGACATTACAGATACATTTTTCATATTATACGCTGTACTTTTTTTTTAGGTGCCAGAATTTTTCATTTATGAATAGGGGGTCGGAAGTAGCGTTGCGATAAATTGCTGTGATGAATTTGCTATCAGCTACTTGATACTTGACATATTTCATATTTTAGACATCAGGATTCAAGTAGCTGATAGCAAATTTGTCACAGCAATCTACTGTAAGGCTACTTCCAACCCCCTATTCATACCTTCCAATTCAGTGGACCCATGGTCATATAAGACATTCGCATTCCGCACACTTGTGGTCTGGCCACAAGTGTGCCTACTCCCATTCTACACATTTGTCAGATACCAATAAGGAACTGGAACATTTCAAACAAGTAGCATCCAACCACGGATATGGCTGCATATTTATCGACAATCTGGCATCCAAGTATCTAACTTGGTCATCTAACAATGTTAACAAAGCAGAAGCAAATCGGGTAATCTTAGACTACAAACTGATGCTACATGGTATATATAGAGAATTGCAAATAATTTAAATGTACTCCTTACCTATAGAAGGAAATCCACCGTTTTCCGCCTTCTCTCAAACGTGAAGGATGACACTGAGGACGCTCTGGCTCTTGGGATTTACCACATCCCCCTATATGACAAGAGGTTTGATAGATTACTAGCTTACATAGGATCCATTTACAGATTGCTGCAAGCCAGACTAAAAGATCACAAATATGACGTGCTAAAAGGTAACATGAATATGGCTTTAGCACGGTATGCCAGCGATCCGGGGGATACCCCTGTTGGGACCAGGCCAAGCTAATACACAAGGTCTTCAACAGGCAAAGTATTAAAATTTTAGATGCAATGGAGATCTACAAGGTGAGCAAGAGTGGAAACTGCATCAACACGGATGTCATTAATTAATTATCATTGGCGTGGAAACACTATCTAGACTCATGATATATGTCATACACAATACATCACACCATTTTTGTTCTTTTAAAATTTACAAGGCAGCTACATTCTATTTATAGAATGGTTTTTTCAGTTTGTATTTCTGAGGAAGGCTGATAAATTTAGTGGCCAAAAACATTCAATCTTCATATTTTTTTTTACTTTTATTTGCCTGAAAGTTTGAATTTAGATGTGATTTGCTAATATACAGTTTCAGTTTATGGCGAGGTTGTGTTTATTTTAATTGCTATTGTTAATGATTTCATACTAGAGGTAAGTGTTAGGCATCATCTCTTATTAAATTTAGTAATTATAATATTTACTAATTAATTTCAAATATTCTGGAAGAAAAGAATTTGCATGGAGTGGGGCTTGAACCTGCAACTCCTACTTACCATGTGGATGCATTGCCAGTTATGCTATCTGGACCCTGAGCAATTCTTAACTTCCAGACATATTTAATTATCTATATATCCATCCACAGTTACTCATGGTATTGACTGGGGCAGCTCCTATGCCCATGGTCTATGTAATCACCCACTATGGAGTGCCATAGTGGGTGATTACATAAACCTGATATATTATTAATAAACCAAAAGCCCAACTAATTATGGCGACTTTTTGGTTTATTATTAATACATTGGACATAGTGATATTTATATAAGTGTTTTTTTGTTTTATGAATGCTTTAAAATGTCCAAAAAATATTGTAAAACGATTAAATATATTTCATATTTTATATCTAAAATAACATTTATAGCTCAAAAACTAATAGGATGCTTTAATGAAATGTGCAATTGAGTGATCATAAAATATTGATAATGTCTTAAAATAGTCACTGAGATATTTAGATATTTTAGCTATAAGTGAAAGTGTATGTTATCGATAAAGTTAATAAACCTATGTGGCTTTTAAAATAAAAACATAAAATATAAATTTTTGTAACAAAAATATATTCAATGTTACATATATAAATTTTTCAGCTAGTTGAATTTTTATATAAATTTATTTATGTTAATATGTAGAATTTAACTCTTGAGTTTTTATTACAGTAGAGCATCGTTTATCTGAATCAATTGGGGACTGGGGTTGTTCGGATAACTTATTTTTCGGATAACCGATTATGTAAGAAAAATATGCCATGTTGAAATTTTTCTCCGTTGCGTGTCGCTTCGCGTTGAATTTTCGTCGATGTTAAGCCTAATGTAAACTTTTCAAAATAATAATCGTAGCTATTGTATCATTAAAAATTATTTCTTTATTTTTTACAAACAAAATAAATATATTGAAAAATATAAAACCAAAAAAATTATACTTTAGAAGTTAATCTAATATCAAAAACGTTTGATTCAGCACGACATACAGTCTTCGGAAAAACACCACACAAAAGTGCCAGTGCTGCCAGCTAAAACACACATCAACAAAAAAAAAATATTGGAGTAGCCCAAGATATAGCCAAAAATTGCAGCGCCACAGCAATAGCGAAAATTTAAATTTGCCGACTGGAATTCTTTCGGATAACTGCCGTTTTGGATAACTGACTTTCGGATAAACGACGCTCTACTGTATTTTAAATGAATGTAGCAAAATAAAATGTAAACATAATTTATTAACATTCAGAAAGTAAAAAAAAAAAAAATAATATTTTTAATTCTACAAAAATATTATTTTTGTAGTAATTCAAAATCTGAAGATCAGGGAGAACCATCTGAAGCTAATGATGGGCAACATCATCCAGTCTACAACAACAGTAAGCATGGATTATTGAGGTCTAAGATGGAGGGAGGTAAGTTTGTAAAATCTTTTAAAATACTATATTAGGCTGTTGAAAAAATCACAAATATTCAATTATTTATATAGGAAGGAGGATCTAAAATTTTTATATAAATTATATATTACACAAAACTTGTATTGTCAGTAATACAAAAATTGTTTTATTACTCAAAGAAGAAATAAACTTTAGTTCTTTAATATATCTCAAGTTAATTTTTGAGGGTTATGATTTGAAAAAAAACATGTGTGTGCACGTCAAAACAAAAAAAAAATTTTTAACCAAATAAAATATTTTTTAACTTCAAACAACACATGAAAAATGGCTTTACTGGATTTTGGAGTTTTAATGATTGTGAGTACTCTGTATTTTTATTTTCTCAAACTTAAAATTCGTTTAACTTACTCTAATATTTTTGACAGTTAAAAAGAATATGTTTACATTTTTATTTATGTAAGAAAATATAAAATTAAATCATTATTTTTAAATGTCTTTTACAATATAGATTGTCTAAAAATATTTCTTACAATGAAATAAGAAATTCTGTAATTAAAATTTGTTTGAAATTTTTCTTCAATAATAATAATAATTTTTTATTTTTCTATAGTCAATAAACTAATTTTAACTGTGTTGTTCAAATCTACATTTTGTTGCCTGATATAACACGCTTTAAACCATAAACAAAAATTTGTCTCAGTAGATTCAAAATAAGCTTATTGTAAAAAATTCACAAAAGTCCAGACAGTATGACAGGGTAGATTCTTTCAGCTTAGTCTATCATATCAATTTGCTGAAATAAAAGAATATGAACATTTGTGATGATGATTTTAATAATGTCCCATGGTAATGCTTACATGAAATGTGGATTTTTTTATCGACAAAGAATGCTTAATGGAAGACCAAAAAGAAAAGACACTTTTAGCTTACAGGTATGATAGTCATGTCAGTTGGTAGATTAGGTAAATTGGATATATCAAAATAGTTGATCCATGCAACTTGGAATGCAGCCCAGTGATACAAGAAAGCTATGGTAGTTCTTAAACAGGAAGAATAAAGAAAGAAAACAAATGGAGTAAGAAGTTAAAACTTTATCTTATCCATCACCGAAATATAATCAATTACATGTCTCGAAGCCTGTTACCAGTGTGCAATTAAGTTCAAAAAATGAAAAATTATAATTTCATAAACGTTTTCAAACCTTCAACAGTTCTTCAAGCAATGACAAATTTCCATTAGAATGCAATTAAATATGAATAATAATTGAAATTCGAATAAGTGTTAGCCAATGAATTTTTACTAGGCATGCGCACTATGTATCTGGCAAATGATGAGAATTTATAGCTCTTTGTCCACTAGTACTTGCCATGCTAAGGACAGATTTAATTCCTCTTCGTGGTTGATGCAGGTGTTGCTTAGTTTGTATATGTAAGGCTTCCAACCACTTTAGATGCTCAGTGTATGGTGTGCTGTGGATGACTCTTGCCAGGTTAAAATTCAGCTCTATCTCAGGATCACTGGCATAAATACCCAGAGCTGTGGTGGTCCTGGCATGTTGTACATCCGTGATGTGCTCTTTTACTCTAATGCCCAAGGAGTGCATCGTAGAGCCGATGTAACTGAGCTCTCTATCGCATCTGTGATTTTTTATTGGGATGTTGTAGACTCCTGGGAGTCTGTCACGGTTAAGAACATTCTTTCCATTGCAAAGGATGTCAAAAATGGTTGGACATCATCTATATGTGATGTGAATGCGGTGCTTTTTAGCTATCTGTGCAAAGAGTGATTGAAGATACGGGTTATAAGTGATCAGATATACCATAAACCAGTAGCAGAATCCATATACATACCAGTGGAGTCATGTGATCCGCATCAATACAAAATTGCAGCATATAATGCATTAATTAAAAGAGCACACACTCACTTCTCCACACAGCAAGCTCTGCATGCTGAACTGAGACATACTCATTGCATTGCCTCAGACCACAGGTACCCCAAAATTACACAAAAATTAATCAGAAGGTTCCAAGAAGTGCTTCGAGTCCACTTCTGCAACAAAATCCAGCAAGAGGAGGAAAGGATCCTGATCACTTATAACCCATATCTTCAATCACTCTTTGCACAGATAGCTAAAAAGCACCGCATTCACATCACATATAGATGATGTCCAACCATTTTTGACATCCTTTGCAATGGAAAGAATGTTCTTAACCGTGACAGACTCCCAGGAGTCTACAACATCCCAATAAAAAATCACAGATGCGATAGAGAGCTCAGTTACATCGGCTCTACGATGCACTCCTTGGGCATTAGAGTAAAAAAGCACATCACGGACGTACAACATGCCAGGACCACCACAGCTCTGGGTATTTATGCCAGTGATCCTGAGATAGAGCTGAATTTTAACCTGGCAAGAGTCATCCACAGCACACCATACACTGAGCATCTAAAGTGGTTGGAAGCCTTACATATACAAACTAAGCAACACCTGCATCAACCACGAAGAGGAATTAAATCTGTCCTTAGCATGGCAAGTACTAGTGGACAAAGAGCTATAAATTCTCATCATTTGCCAGATACATAGTGCGCATGCCTAGTAAAAATTCATTGGCTAACACTTATTCGAATTTCAATTATTATTCATATTTAATTGCATTCTAATGGAAATTTGTCACTGCTTGAAGAACTGTTGAAGGTTTGAAAACGTTTATGAAATTATAATTTTTCATTTTTTGAAGTTAATTGCACACTGGTAACAGGCTTCAAGCTATGTAATTGGAGTAAGAAGTTGATTGCTGCAGAAATGATGAGAGAGTTATAGAAAAAGATGATGATAATTCTTATAGCAGCTAAGAAGATGACAGGGACATTAATGAGCAATTTCAAGAATTCAAAAAAGGAATGATTTTATTTTATACTAGCTGTTATCCGCAACTTTGCCCACACAGATTTTGCAAGCAAACCCTATTTATATTCAATATTTCAACAACCATAGTAATTGTTATATAACATCTACCGCTGAGAATCAAATGAACTATTTTCAATTTGATCAATTTTCTGGAACGCTTACAATCATTCTATAATCGAACCAATATGTAATAACAAATTCAAATTTAAAACAGTTTGAACATTTGGTGAAAAAATCAAAATATATAAAAATATTTTAACGATGTTTGAAATGTTATCAATTTAATACACCTATGTACTCAATGAAAACTAAACGTGGTTGAAAACAAAAAATTGCATCCCTTCTTAATGTGCATTCTCATGACGTACCCTACTAAAACATAGTTAAAAACAAAAAATTGCATCTAAAATATTACAGTAGAAGCTGTTCTTCAGGTTAAGCCTTAATCCTTTCCCTCTCCCCTTGCAGGGGGAATTTCCAAAAATCCCCTCTTAGTGTGCATTCTCATGGCATACCCTAACTATGTACAAAATTTCACCTCTATTTTCAGTGGTTTGCTCTGGGCAATGATGAATCAGTCAGTCATTCAGGACAAGTAATTTTATGTATTTAGATTTAATAAAGCATATGATTATTTTGTTTATTTTGTGATATTTACTCATTATGAATTGCATAATTTGGAAAACATGTTTTGGATTTACACTATAAGATGGACAGTGTCAATTTGAATTCCCATGTTATAATAAATTATAGTAAGCCATATAGAATCAATATGATATACAATCGTTTGCATATTTTGAAGCAAGAATATGTGAATTGATTAATCAAAATGAAAAAATGAATCATACTTCATAATAAAGGGAATTGAACAGCGTTACAACTGTTCAGTTTCATTTGGTAATGTCAAATAAACTATGAACTGTTTTTAATTTCTTCAGTGAGTTGTTTCTGTAAGTCAGGTAAAAGTGTGAGTTTTTTATCCTGGAAAATCTGGAAATTTCAGGTAAATTGAAAATTATTGGACACCTGTAAAGACATTATCAAATCTTTGTTCTCCGTATGTTTTAGTACATAACTCAAAAGAGATGTATCTTTACAGGTTAAAGCAAAAAAGAAATATTTAATAATGATAATAAAGTTAAAATTTAATTAGATTTTACATGCAGAGTGGTTCCAAAGTCAGTTAATTGAAATATATTTGAAGCATAATTAAAACCTGTTTGGTGGTTATCACAATCATCAACAATAACATATAGCTGGTAGTTGTAATAACCATAACTATATTATCATCACTTTAATGAAAAGTAAATTACAAATAATAAATATACAGTTCCAAACTGATTTCAACCATTCTTAATAGTCTTAAATATGTTTCAGTTAACTAGTTTTTTAACCACCCTGTACATAATGTATTTTATATTTATTTATTTTTATTTTTTAATAAGATTTATTATATGACTGATGACGAAAAATAATAGTGACGTAGAAGTTATAGATAATAATCTGTTACCTAAAATTCATAAGCTAGCAGACAGTTGAAATAATAAAAAAATAGTAATTTCAAAACCATAATTGATTACTGCATTAGAAAGCAAAATTAATACAGTAGAACCTCGAAAACTCAGCCTAATGTGGACCGAAGGGTGGCCGAGTTTGTGAAAATGCCGGGTTATCGGGAATGGTGTTAAAAAAAATAAGTACGAGTGTTTCTTCAGAAAATACTGTACTGTACTTGTATATATTGTTTGATGACCGTTAGGGGTCGGAAGTGCTATGTTGTGTCTTACATGTGCTCTGGGTTTGATCGTCATTTTTTTTAATACCAAGTGGATTACTGCGGAGTATAACACATCGTTGAACTCAGGAAGACAAGCGCTCTCCGTAGGTACTAGTATCTTTTAATTTGGTGGACTTTTGCCTGGGTTATTGGAGCCCGAATTTTCGGTCTTTTGCACCATCTCCCACGTGTTCGGTTCGCTTTTTCTACTTCATTCTTTGTCAGCGGTTATTTCTTACGTACTGCTATTATTATTATCCTGACGGCGTGACATTTTTAACCCTGAAATGCGATCCGTTTTTCATTTCCTTTCCGCTGGACAAAGGGCTTTGT